AGTCAAATAGAATGAGGAATTAATCATGAGGGCTTGCGTTTTTAACTGAAGAGTCCTGGCATGATATCCCCATAGCACCATTATCACTAACATTTTTTATTTCGTGTTTTTAAAATTAACTTTGATCCTTTCCTCAGAGGTTTATTTTCTGGCTAATTTCTGAGTTTCCTCTGAACACTTCATGTACAGCTACCACAGAGTTTAGTGTCTGGGTGAAGAAAATTCTGTAGATAAGCGACAACATTTATTCTGATGAATCAACTTTCATCACCACATATTAAGCTCATGTGCTTACACTGGAGGGGGTGGGAGTATCATGGAGCAGGGCCTTCGGACACATTGCATCTGTGGGGCATGGCTTGTTTTCTTCCTAGTGGCCTCCCTCCCTCCCTCCCTCCCTTCCTTCCATCCTCCTACCCTCCTACCCTCCTCCCATCTCTCCATTTCTTCCTTCCTTCCTTCCTTCCTTCCTTCCTTCCTTCCTTCCTTCCTTCCTTCCTTCCTTCCTTCCTTCCTTCCTTCCTTTTTCTCTCTTTCTCTCCCTCCCTCTTTCACCCTCCTATCCTCCCTCGATTCCTTCTTTCCTTCCTTCCTTCTTTTCTTTCTTTTTTTTCTCTTTCTTTCCCTCTCTCTCTCTCTCTCTCTCTCTCTCTCTCTCTCTCTCTCTCTCCCTCCTTCCCTCCCTCCCTCCCTCCCTCCCTCCCTCCCTCCCTCCCTCCCTCCCTTCCTTCTTTCTTCTTTCTTCCTTTCTTGATTCTGATCTTAGAGAATTTCTCCTAAGAATAGGTGTTTATTGCAGCCTTGCTTACACCAGAAAGAAGGGGGAAGGCAGCCAGTGTCCAACAGTACACTCCTGCATCCTTTACTCTGCGATTGCGTAGACCTGTATCCACCGACGTGGAAGCCTGTCATTAAATATTAACTTTACGTGGGAATCCATGTGTGTGTTGTGTGTGCACGTTGTAGTCAGCAGTAGTGTTAAGAAAGGGACTCTCCCATTGAGAGGAGATAAACTAATAAAACCAGAGAGAGTTAGTGAGAGTCGTCGTGAATTAAGGGGAGTGTTTGCGGATCGCCGAGGCTGTATGAGGAGAGACAGGTTAGGAGAGGAAGCTCCAGGACGTGTTCACAGGGCGGTGTCCACGGAGGGGGCGGGCCAGGCGCTCGGGGAGCCTGCCCAGGTGGAGCCTCGTCACAGCGCCCGCTGACCGGCTCGGGGCCCCACTCCCTGCTGTCTTGGCCGTGGAGCTGTTCCAAGCTGATGGCATTTTTAACAGAGAGAGAGAGAGAGAGAGAGAGAGAGAGAGAGAGAGAGAGAAAGAAAGAAAGTCGTGTTGAGTGCAGTAAGTGGTCATCAGAGTCCCCCCTTGTCCCCACCTTGAGGGAAGGGTTTGCACGGGGCAGTGAGTGAAGCTGATCAGGAATGAAGGCTTGAGAGCAGATTCTGGGTTTGTTTGTTTTTTGTTTTGTTTTTTTTTACACATTTTATTTTATATTGGTTTCTGGTGTACAGCTTACTGGTTAGGTAATCATATACTTTACAAAGCGTTTCTTTTGATGTTTCCGGTTCCCCACCTGGCACCATACATGGTCATTGTGCTATGTCTTCCTGTGTTTCCTGTGCTTTGCTTACTTCCCCGTGACAGTGTTGTAACTACCCCTGTGTGCTTCTTAGTCCCTTCACCTCTTCACCCCGTGCCACCACCAGTTCTCTGTTCCTACGGGTCCGGGTCCGCTTCTGTTTCACTCATCAGTTTATTCTGTTCTTTAGATCCCACAGAGAAGTGACATCGTACGTGTTTGTCTTTCTCTGGCTGACTGTTTCACTTAGCATAATGCCCTCTAGGTCCATCCATGCTGTCACAAACGGTAAGATTTCATATTCTTATGGCTGAGTAATATTCCATATGTAGGGTGCATATATACCACAGGTTGGTTTGTTTGTTTGTTGGTTTGTTTTTCATCCACAACGGCAGAACCCGAACCCTGAATAAGAGGGAAAGTCAGGTGTGCAGAGAGTCCTTAGCCTGAGTGCACAGATGTCCATATTGTCTTATGTGTTCTCAGGGGTCCCATGAAGCCCCAGAAATCAAAATAAAAAGTTTGAGTATATGGTTCTTTTTCCAGGGCGAGGAGCAGTAGCTTTGATATGATTCTCAGAGGCGAGGCAGAGCGGATGCAGGCCCTGAGACGGTTAAGGAGGCTGACATTCTCTCCACGGTTATGTGGGGAGGGAGGGAAAGGGGTCCTGTCCCGGAATCTCGGTGAAGTCTAGTTTCTGTCTGATTTGGAGACCTTGGTGCTTGCGTCACGTAACCCAGAGGACCCCGTTAGGTCAAGGCCAGTCGTCAGGGGATCCCCAGAGGCTGGACACGGGCTTGGACACAGGCCGCAGTGGACTCTGCTCCTACACTCTGGAAGTCCTGGGTAAGATATTAAATCTTACCGTTTGTGACAGCATAGATGGACCTACAGGTCATTACGCTAAGTGAAATAAGTCAGCCAGGGAAAGACAAACACCGTACGATGTCACTGACATGTGGATCCAAACAACAGGAAGACCTGCCGTCGGGTCTCAGTGGCAGATGTCAGAGGGCAGAGAGGAGGTAAGAGCTTGGGAACAGCCGAGGGCGGGAGCGGAGCCCCTGATCCTGGGTGTAGCACCCCCATTGTGATGTCCTGGCTTTCATCACTGGCACCCACAGCACTGACTGGATTCTGACAGTGGTTCCCCACGAGGCGGTGGGAGTGAGGAACGGGGAGTGACGAAGAGAGAGGGTAACAAGAAAAGGCTGGTCTTCAGTCGGGCGCGGCTGCTCCGCCTTGTCTGTGTGAGGCCGGATGTCTCAGCATGGACCGATGGGGGTGTGATTTTCCCATTTTACCTGCAAACCCGACTTCCACCCAGGCCTTTCCAAACAAATCGCCTGCGGCAAACAACAATGCGATGTGGTTCTGGCGTTGTGGTTCTGGTTGGCACTCGAGAATCCCACGCAGACGCTTTTATATTCAGCGCACGGTGGAGACAGATTGGGCATTTAAGGCAACTTAGTGGATTGAAGAGCACTGAGGGAATTGTGGGAATTGCCTGTGAGAACAAATCATTATTCCTTGGCAGGCGGGCGGAGGAGAGGGGATGGAGGAGGAGCTGTAGGTTACCGGGAGGAAGAAATCAGAGGAATCGGGTGGCAGCACGAGAGGCCTTTGTACAGAGGAAGGAAGTGATCCACAGCAAGCAGGCATGCTTGCCCGGGGTCACGGACAGCGAGGCAGCCACAGGGCCAGCACCTGACCCCAGGTCTTCGCGAGGGAGAGCCCCCAGCCCCACGCTGCCCCCCTGCCTTCAGAACCATGGACAGCTGTGGGGCAGGGGTCGCCGCGGACAGGCTATGGTGACACCGGAAAAGAGGAGCCCCAAGGAAGACCCCCATGGAGGCAACCAGCTCAGACGGAGGGTGAGGCAGGCCCGGGAGCCAGGAGGGTAAAAGCCAGAATGGTGGGGCCATGCCTGGGTCCCCTTCTCTCTTCTGGTGCAGTCCATGGTGTGACTTGGGGGACACCTGAGCCCAGAGCAGTCGAGACAGAGTTGAGCCAACATGCCAGCCCCCATCGTTCTTACCTTCGCTGGACACCTATGAGCCTGGAGGCTGCCTCACTCCCTGTGAGGCGGACTCTCCCCGTGGGAGCCTCTCTCTCTGGAAAGGGCCTTTATTGGCACAGTTGGCTCGTGTCAGGCCCCCATCCCTGGAGCAGTCAGCATGGCAAGCATAGGGGCCTGGAGGAGCAGCATGACAACCCCCCCCCCCACACACACACACACCAGCAGCTGGCATGGAGGAGGAGCCACTCCACCGAAGGAAAGGCGGGGTAGTGGTCTGACCCAGGGGTGGGCGCCCCCACAGTGCTCTATGGAAGTCGGGTTTGAGCCCTGGCCGGTGTGGCTCAGTTGGCTGGGTGTCGTCCCATGCACCGGAAGGTGCCAGTTCAATTCCCTGCCAGGGCATGTGCCCGGGTTGCAGGCTCAAGCCCCAGCAGGGAGCATGCAGGAGGTAGCCATCGATATTTCTCTCTCATATCAATGATTCTCTCTTTCTCTCTTCCTTTCTCTCTAAAGTCAATAAAAACCTATTTTAGGGTGGGGGGGAGATCAGTTTTGAGGCACTTGTAAAGGGCTCGCAGGTTCTTAAGGATGAAGAGGGCCAGGTAGGCAGCTGGATTTTTGTCCTCAGCCCTGGCCAGACCCCGACATGGGGAGATGAGCCAGAGACCACAGGCATTGGCTTGGTTCCCTGGAGGAAAGGCGCTGGCCTGTCTTTGGACAAGTCTGTGACGTCCCGGTAACGCGCTGGCTGCAGACACCTGGCTGCACCGTTACCTGCAGACCCTGACGATCACTGAGTTTGGGGAAGTACCCGAGGTGGCCTGAGGCCCCAGGCCAGAGAGGGGCTTGTGGGCTAGATCCTGGCCCTGCCTTTCTCTCCTTTTCTCTATTCCGTGGGGACCATCAATACAGGAAACAAAAATGAAAAGAAGCTAATCATCATGAGATGAGCCATCTCCTTCCGGACACGTGCATAGTGCTGGGCTTGGGGGCCACACCGTGCACAGCAGATGGTATTAAAGGAGATACGTCAGACCCCTGTGCCTAGCTCTCCGCAGATGCTCAGAGGCGGTGGTTTCCTTTCTCCGTATTTACTAGAATGCTGAAAGGTGTTGGGAAGGAGGTCATGCGTTTGAATGAATTTAGTCCTTCCTTCACCACCGTGAGGGAGGCCCCACGGGTGTCGCAGAATTATCAGCGAGCAGAGGGTTGTGGCGTCGAGAAAGAGGCGAGGCACCATGGGGCTCAAGAAACAGCTCTTGGAGGGAACTTCCACTGGCTTCTCGCTACACTGACGTCTATGCCGAGGGAAAGGATCGTTATTCCAGGTGGAAACCCAGCCACGCTTGGTGCCCACCTGTGACTGCGTGTGCCGTGACCCGCTTGACTTCCCTTGCAGTCCACCTGATCCCGGTGTCCGTAGCTAAGAATGGAGCGAGTAGCAAGAGTCGAAAGAGAATCATGCCCGACCCGGTGACGGAGCCCCCCGGGATGGACCCGGTGTACGAAGCTCTCTTGTACTGCAACATTCCCAGCGTGGCCGAGCGCAGCATGGAAGGTAGGCCTGCCCGCCCTGCCCAACGTGGTACCTGGACAGACACCCCTCTGGGATCTGGTTCCTCACCCAGCACAGCCTGGTGGTGAGGAGCTCCCCGGCCGGGGCGCAATTCCTGCAGCTGCCACTAGGCTGTGCACTTGAGTGAGTTCACTTCCTCACTTCTAGTGCATCACCCCCAGCTTTTCTTTCTTTTTAAAATTTTTTTATAATAAAAATATAAAATTTTTTTATTGATATTTTACAGAGAGGGAGAGAGAGGGATAGAGAGTTAGGAACATCGATGAGGGAGAATCATCCATCAGCTGCCTCTTGCACACCCCCTGCTGGGGATGTGCCCGCAACCAAGGTACATGCCCCTGACCGGAATCGGACCTTTCAGTCCTCAGGCCGACGCTCCATCCACTGAGCCAAATAGGTTCGGCCCCAGCTTTTCTGAGTAGACACTCTGGGGCTTAGGACGTCCTGCCTGTATCTTGCAGGAAAGGTGTGGGGAAATGTGATTTCCACGTTGAATTTTGCTTTTTTTTTTTTTTTTTTTTTGAGAATGTACCAAAGATTGGTGTTGAGTCTGCTTGTGCCCCGCCTTGTCTGATGAGAGATTTCGAGAGGACTCGTGTTCCCTGTTCACTGTTTCTGGGCCTCCCGTGGTCTGTGGATGTGAGCGAGGAGGACACAGGAATATTCCTGCTCACGCTTTCCTGGCCTCCAGCTGGCCACCACGGCCTCCCCGTGACTTGGTGGCCTGGTGCATGACCAGCCCACTCACGTCCTTCTGCCCTGCCACTGAGTCTGTTCAGAGGCACCCCACCCGAAACCCAGCCCAGCACCCTGCTCCCAGCACCCCTCCTCCCTTCAGTGCCGTGAAAAGAACCGACGCTTCTGAGTGATAACAACACACCGTCTCTGTCTCTCTTTATGTCTGTCTGTCTCCCGCAGGCCATGCTCCGCACCATTTTAAGCTGGTCTCGGTGCACGTGTTCATTCGACACGGGGACAGGTACCCGCTGTATGTCATTCCCAAAACAAAGCGACCAGAAATTGACTGCACTCTAGTGGCTGACAGGTAAATTGCACTTAAAAAAAAAAAAGGTTCCTTTTAAGAATCTGTTCTCTCTGTTCTAATCATAATACTGATGGGGGAACGAATGACAGGATGGGGACTGTGACCTGTCATGGAGCGAGTGCAGTTCACCAGGAGTCTGATCTTCAGAACAGTCCTGCAGGCTCCTGCCACCTCACCGTGGAGAAAACAGAGGCCCAGAGAGGTGAGGGCGCCTGTGTGAGCCGCACAGCAGGTGAAGCCCTGGCCAGTCAGAGGCCCACGCTCCCACCCTGCCGCCCTTCGGTTTGAGAAACGGCTGGGTGTGGTGCAGCGACCACTGGGTGAGGAGGAGTCCTCAGACCCGGCTCGGCTATTCCATTCCGAGCAGCCGCTGAGCCCCTCAGTGTCTGTGAGCCTCAGCCGTCTGTCTCTGGAATGGGACGGCGATGCTGACCACGCAGAGTTGTGGTGAGGCGTCCCTGGGACGACAGAGGAGAAAGAACGCCATCATTTACTTGCAAAGCCACACACAGGGATGATGCTCCTGCCAGCGTCCACAGGGGCAGAGACCGCCCGCTCTTGGTTGAGAGCGAGCCCTCGGGATGAAAACGAATGGAGAAGAGTGGGAACAGTGCCCATGGAAATGGCATGGCTCTACCTTCGGAGGCACAGCTAGCATTGAAAGCGATGGGCCAGGCCTCAGCCAGCGTGTCTGGGGACACGTCACCCCCCTCACAGAAGGTGCTGAGTGTGGAGAGGGACGGAGGGGAAGATGCTATGTCGGTGGGGCGCTCCTGGTTGCCAGCCGGGCCCCTGGCAGCCCGGTGGGACCACGGATTGCCTCCGGCCGCCCAGCTGTTCTTTCCAAGTGGCCACAGTGGGAACCCTAGCCGTTCAGGTTAACTCGGCCATCTCATTGTCCGGCGTCACAGAGAAGGCGAAGTGAAGCATCTTCGGTGGAAACATGAGATACTGGGCGCCTGCGGGCTTTCCCGTGTTGTTTCGTTTCCCGCCGGAGGTCACAATGCTCGCACTCCGGGCGTTTGTGTCTTCTGTGCTCGGCCAGCTGGGAGTCGTGTCCCAGAGCCTGTGTCAGGGTGCTCTCCTCCTCCCTCCTCCAGCCTCCTGTGTCCGCCTTCCCGGGAGGGCCTCTGCCCCTGCCAGTCCCACCTTTGCACCTGCCACCTGGCTTGCTTGTCCCCCACGCCTGCTTGGCTCACTCCCACAACTCCCTGCAGGGCCCCGGAGAGGCTGGCTCCCCCAGGAAACCTCTCCCTGTGGGTGAGAACGGGTCCTCGGCTTGTATCGGGGACCACGGCCATGCAGGGAGGAAGAAGAGCGGCTGGCCCTCGGAGACCTCCGGGCTGCTGTGCTAAAATCACGTCACCCGCTTAGCAAACTCTCAGCATGGACCGGGCTCAGTGCCTCACTGCAAACGAGACAGGAAGGCACACGGGGATGGTCCCTGAACAAAACGTTTCATCCTCGGACCTTAGCTGGCCTAAGGACGAGGGCCAGGGGGGAGGTCACTCACTGTGCCGGGCATTGACTCTTCTGTTCCTGGATCGTGGGGATGGGCTAGAGCCCCCGGAGTGGCAGGAGGGCACAGGGTGGGGTGCAGGGCAGGCAGCTTAGGGACGTGGGTTTGCTAGGTCGGGCACAGCAGAGTTTCTTCGTGTTAACAGCTGGCCTAGCCCTCCCTTTGCACGCTGGCTGGACATCCACCCTTTGAACAGCCCGGGCACAGACAGGCTCCTGGGCCTCTGAGCTGGCCGGACCCAAGACAGCCTCCAGGACTCATGGACAGCGCCCTGCCTCGTCCCCGGCTCCTTGCAGCTTCTGGTCCTCTTCCTCTGCCAGCGCTTCCGCTTCTCAGAAGTGAGAATTTGAGAGGTTCAGCTCAGACTAGGGGTCAGTCACTGCTGCTAGGAAGTCCCTGGGCACTTGGAGCTCTAGGGGCCATTCTAGCCGTTCCCAGAAAAGGGGCCTATTGGGCCGGGCCACCTGCCAGCGTGCAGGGCCTCCCCCACCCCCACCCCCTACCCCCCCACCCCTGTACAGCCTGGGACTTTACAGCTTGCCTTCCCAGCGTGACTGTCTCCGCCCTCCCCACATCACCAGCTTCTCCCGGGCTCTGGGTCTCACTCCTTCCTGTGTCGCCCAGGCCCGGCTCAAGCCTGGCAGGCAGTAGCTGTTGGACGGGTTTGGTTGCAGAGTGAATCCGGGATCTGGGTGAGACTCACAAGTCATAATTGCCTGCCGTGGGCTCCTATCAGATCGAAGGCTCCGCACGGATTTCTGGGGGCCGATCCACCCGGGAGGCCCATCCGCGCGCGTGTGTGTGTGTGTGTGTGTGTGTGTGTGTGTGTGTGTAGGGAAGGTGTCTGCGCTCTCTGAGCCTCCGTGTGCAGACCTGGAGCGTGGGGGCCGCGATGCCTCCCTTCCCACGCCCCTATGGCGTCTGACGGAGGTGGGAGCGCGAGGCCCTGAGCCCGGTCCATGCTGAGAGCTCGCTAAGGGGGTGACGTGTCACTGAGCACAGCAGCCTGGGGGTCTCCGAGGGCCGGCCCCTCTTCCTCCCCGAGTGGCCGTGGTCACGAAGCCGGGACAGGCCCCAGGGCCCCTCGTCCTGTCAGGGTGACGGCAGGATGCACGGATGCGGGGGCCGTTGCCGGGGCTCCCATTGGAGAGGCCACAGTGTCTGGGGACCAGCTGCCCTGGCTGCCTCTGCCTTCCTTGTCCCCGGCCTTGCTCTTTCGGCCTCGTTATCAAATGCTCTGTATTTTTAGGAGCTACTTGTAAGTCCTTTGCAGAAAGTGGGTGGGGCGTGCATGTTTAATTAGTTCGTGTCATTTAAGTAAATCCATCCTTAAATAAAAACAATGAATGTCCATTCATGAGAGTGACAGGAACTCCCAGCCATTAGAGTCCACTTCAGGCCTCTGAGTCCCCCAGGACCGTGGGAGGGGGTCACCAGCAGTGCCTGCCGCCTCCCCAGGTGCCGGTTCAGCTTCAGGAATTATTCGTTTTTCGGCCTCCTAAGAGGCCGTGAGTGCTGGAGTGCGGCCGTTACTCTGGTCCCGTGGAAGGGGGTGTCTGGGCCGTGCACAGCGAGGAGCTGATTCCGTTCAAGCCGGTCACCCCAGCGCTCCCCTTCACAGTGACACACTGCGTGGCTCCCTGAGTCTTTGTAGCAGAGGCCGTGTCTGCGTGAATGCCTGGGCCTCACAAAGGTGATCTTTTTACCCTCACAGGACTATGCTTAGCCGGCAATAAGCTTATTAGCCATTGACATGTTTCGTGAATGTTTTTGTGTTGTTGTTTTTTTGCATTCATGAATATGAATTTGATATTCTTTTCTACATCCTAAGAAGAAAAAAACAAATCAATACTTTTATGCACTGAATTTTATTCTTTTTTAAAAAAATATATTTTATTGATTTTTTTTACAGCGAGGAAGGTAGAGGGATAGAGGTTAGAAACATCGGTGAGAGAGAGAGACATCGACCAGCTGCCTCCTGCACACCCCCCACTGGGGATGTGCTCTCAACCAAGGTACATGCCCTTGACCGGAATTGAACCCGGGACCTTTCAGTCCACAGGCCCACACTCTATCCACTGAGCCAAACCAGTTTTGGCGAATTTTATTCTTAAATGCATGTCGTATGCCAGGGGCTGTCCCATGTACCTGGCTCACACACCAGGAAGTGGCATGTGAGCAGGCACCTAAATGAAATGAAGAGAGGATCTGGGGGAAGAGGGTTCCAGATGGTGGGAAACAGCGTGTGCAGAGGGCCTGAGGCTGGGGAGCTGGGCGCGTATGAGTAACAGTAAGACTAGTGCCTGGCCGAAACCAGTTTGGCTCAGTGGATAGAGCGTCGGCCTGTGGACTGAAATGTCCCAGGTTCGATTCCGGTCAAGGGCATGCACCTTGGTTGTGGGCACATCCCCAGTAGCGGGTGTGTAGGAGGCAGCTGATCGATGTTTCTAGCTCTCTGTCTCTCTCCCTTCCTCTCTGTAGAAAATCAATAAAATATATTATAAAAAAAAAAGAAAAAAAAGACTAGTTCCTGAAGGAACAGGAGGCATGAAGGGGAGAGTGAGCTGCTAAGGATTTAAAGAAGGTGGTTGCCCTCAGGGGGCCTTGGAATAGCACATCAGCCATTTGTCTTCTCTTCCATAAGCGATGTTTTCCTCCTGTGAATCCTCATCTCGCCCTACCCAAAGCAAGCTTTCACGGATGCAGTTAGCAACAGACGCCTCCTCAAGCAGTCAGATTCCCTGAAACCCGGGACACCTCAGCCAACACTTTCAGCCGTGAGATTCTGTGTCTAAAATTGGCGGCCACGCTGCCCGGATCCTCGGACGTCACGGCCGGAAGGAGGGGCCGGCGGCAGAGCTCCTGCCTGCCGGCAGTGGCCTTCGTTCATGTGCTGCCCATCGTGACCAGATGGACGTTTTATTTCCGAGTTTGCAAATATTGGCACGTTTCAGCCTCGGGATGAAAAGCACTCCCTCTGTCTGCATGCAGAGACAGCCCCGCCCGGCACAGCCCCCGGGATATCACCAGACCGTCCTGCACGGCAGGACTAGCATTCCCTAGTTCCAAAGCCTATTTTATGAAAGGTGGATTTATTTATTTTATTTATTTATTTATTTATTTTTTTTAGCTTTATGCTTTTGAAAAGATACTAAACCTCTCCTGGCAGCCATTTTTAAAGCTTGGGCAGTCACTTGGGCTTTCAGCAGCAGGGGTCGGCCATTAGAGCGATTTCCCTTTGCTGCTGTTCGCTGGGACTAGTCTATCCGCTTCTGTTCAGCTGGAAAATGGATACACAGTCATAGGCCATTCTACTAATCAAAGAGAAGGCGTAAATATTCATAAGTCACCTCATTATCCAGAGGAATTGTGTCTCTGTGCATAGGTCATTTCATTATTCAGAGAAAATGTGTATATATTCATAGGTCATTTCATTCTTCGGGGAAATTGTGTATTAGTGACTAGATTAAATCTTGATTTGCCACATGTACTCCACGGGAGAAATATTAAAAAAAGTCAGGCCTCATAAACATACCAGTGTTATTATTGTTTTGCTATCTGTGACCACCCCCATGAAATGCATATTGTATGTGCAAAATACATAGCGAATTGTAGAGAGCTATGGAGATCTTGGTTATCTTAATCAGTTAATTTTCTTCAGAAGAGCCTTTCCAGAGGTCAGATAAGTTAAGGATTAAGAGTAACCCAGGTAAAGGTTGGGGTGGGTTGTTTTTTAAGAAAATAGATGGTTTCATTGATTTGAGAGAGAGAGAGAGAGAAATAGAACCATGGGTGAAAATTATCAGTTGGCTGCCTCCTGCACGCCCCCTGGTGGGGACCTAGCCCACAACCCAGGCATGTGCCCTGACCCAGATTACAACCAGTGACCTCTTGGCTGATGAATTGATGCTCAGCCCCTGAGCCACACTGGCCGGACAGGGTGGGATTTTTAGGAGGAAGAGGCAGCATGTGGGAAGTCTTACAAGCATGAAAGAACAGTGTGTTGGGGGAACAGACGTCGGTTGTGTCTGTGTGTCCGGAGCTCAGCATTAGAGTGGAAAGGGCCGGGCAGCCCTGAGCCTCAGTGTGAGGCGGGGCCAGAGCAGACCAACGGGCATGCGTGGCCCCTTCCAGAAGGCAGCATGTGGAAGGGCAGTGACCACTCTGGTTGCCTTTTAAGGAGATCGTGCTGGTAGTGGAGAAGGCAGATGAGAGGGGCAGGAATAGGCTCAGGTAATCCAAAGAGGAACCCGGGGCATCCAGACAGAAGCTGCCTGGCCGGAACCCAGCTGGTGGCTGCAGGGATGCAGGAGAGAGGTGTGCAGCCCCTGGAGGACATGTGTGCAGGTTGTTTGGGGGGGGGGGGGGGGGCAGGTGGCCTGTGTAGAGGCAGGGAAGGGATAGATCGAGGATTCCCAGCCAAGGCATGGCGTCTGGAGAGGGAGCCTGGAGGGGTGCAGGTTGGGAACCGACCGTGGAGGGCAAAGCTGACTCCCAGAGTGATGGGCACGTCGGCAGAGGACAGCGCTCGGCTGGCCTTGCGGAGTGGGTCATGCGTAGCCGTCGGCGGTTGAGTAATGCGAGATTGGAATGTAGAAGTGATGGAGCGATTGCCGTTGTGGGGGAGGAGGGCACACATGTGGCGTTTTGTTTGCTGAAGCTGAACCAGCGCAGGCTGCTGTGGCGTGTGCTGACCTCCAGATCTGTGTTGTCTCTTCAGGAAACCGTACCACCCGAAGCTGGAAGCCTTCATCAGGCACATGTCCAAGGGATCCGGAGCCTCGTTCGAAAGCCCCTTACACTCCCTGCCTCTCTTCCCCAACCACCCGCTCTGCGAGATGGGAGAGCTCACACAGACAGGTACGTGGGACCCGTGCGCTCACCCTGAGCGGAGAGCGAGTGCTCCTGGGCCGCGGGCTCGGGGGCAATGGACTAGCACACCCCGGCTCTGAGTCCACCCGCATTCCCAATTAACATCTGATTTCTAAAAAGGTAAAAATAATGAAAACTATTTTGTTATTACAAACTAGAGAAACTAGTTTGTTTCTCTTCCATGTTTCTCAAAGTATGTGTTTCTCTTCCATGAACATATACCGCCTTTGTAACAACAAAGGCGGTATATGTTCATGGAAGAGAAATTAGGAATGGCAATTAAGCAAAAGGAAGAAAAATAGCACCTGTAATGCCACCAAAGTAATTAGTTATCTTTCTTTCTGTGTTCATGCATGTGTATGCAGGTGCGGGCATGTGCACACACACTCTCACAGTGGTATCTCACTAAACACGCTATTTCATTATCCACTCTTTCACTTAGTATATTGTGATCATCCTTCCCTATTCATCAACAACACCATTTCTGATTGCTACATGTTACTCCACTGTGGCTGGGCCATAATTTATACCATTAATCCCATGTTCCTAGATACTTCAGGCAAAGCACCTGGTAAGTTCCAGGGTGCCAGATCTCAGTTTTTTTTTACAAGTTCTGATCAAAACAAAATACAAGTGCCCCTCAATTAATAGCATGTTTATTGGAAATTCATTGGATGTTAATGTTACACAAAAATGACTTTGTGTTTATAGATTTAAAAAAAATAAGTGGGTTCGCCCTAGCTAGTTTGGCTCAGTGAAAGGTCCCGGGTTTGATTCCTGTCAAGGGTACATGCCAAGTTGAGGGCTCAATCCCCAGTAGGGGGCAGGCAGGAGGCAGCCGAGCAATGATTCTCATCATTGATGTTTCTCTCTCCCCCTCTTCCTTCCTCTCTGAAACCAATGACAGTATTTTTTTTTTTTTAAGAAGTGGGTTCTAGGCTATATAAACAGATTTTTCACGTGTGGGAACGTCTTATGGCACATTCAGAAGTTCTATGGGCCCTGGCCAGTTTGGCTCAGTGGATAGAGCATCAGCCTGCAGACTGAAGGGTCCCAGGTTCGATTCTGGTCAAGGGCCTGTACCTTGGTTACGGGCACACCCCCAGTAGGGGGTGGGGGGTTGCAGGAGGCAGCTGATCGATGTTTCTCTCTCATCAATGTTTCTAACTCTCTATCCCTCTCCCTTCCTCTTTGTAAAAAATCAATAAAATATATATATTTTTTAAAAGAAGTTCTATGGGACCGAGAACAGTTCCTTGTGAAGACTGTCCAGCCCCCTGGCCACCACCACTGGGTGTCGGTAACATTATTGCCCATATTATTGTGACAGCTCAGCCTCCAAACCCTCCCTGAGGGCAGACCCAGGCTTGCTGAGAACCACTGCTTGAACCCTGATTGCAAGTAACAGAAACCAACTCAAGCACAAAAGGGTTCACAGTGACTCACCGACAGTGAGGGCAAGAACGTGAGCAGGCCTCCGGAGACTGGAGCCAGGAGTAAACAGTCTGCCTGTCGCTGCCTTTGTGGATATGCTGGGTGTCTGTCAACGGAGTGACAGTCCGAGCCACACCCACAGATGGGCTGGCAAGACCACATTCTTGAGAGAGGGAGAGAGAGTCCGAAGGGGTCCTTGAGGGCCGGGCCATCACCTGGCCAGAGGTCGGGGTGGCTGTGCATTGAGAGTGGGACCCAGCCTTGGGGTCCAGGGGCCGCCCCTGAGAAGAGTGACGGGGGGCGGGGCCTGAGGGGTTCACACAAGTAGAGACAGTCGTTCATTCATTCCGGCCTTTCTTCTCATTGATTTACGGCAGTATCATCGTTATCACATTCTACTAGTAAATCAGCATCCCTCTAGAAGTTACTTTTGCAGCATGGTTTGCTCCTGTCCCCTCATTCTCTCTTAATGGCCAGTTTCATCTTCTATTTAAAATTTCATTTTAAGAGAGCCTCGCCGTTAGGGCCGTCATTTGTCACGGGCTCACTTTGGCACCCACAGAGGCGACGCCCGACCAGACTGATCGCTGGGGCCTGCTCTGGGCCACGTGCTTTGGCAGCTGTTGAGCGTGGGGGAGGGGCGGGGCCTGGGAGAGGAAGATGCTCGCTCCCCTAGCGGATCCCTCAGCCGCACGGAGACCAGCCTTCTGCTGCAGGCCGCAGGGTCCTATGGGACCAACACAGGCTTCGGAGGATAGACAGCCCCGTGAAATGGGGCTGACATCTTCCGGGCAGGGCTGGTGGTGAGGGACATGCGACAGCGTGTGGAGGAAAGTGCCTCGCACAGTGCAATGCTCAGTGAATGCTGCTGAGGGCCCGGAGGTCCAGCTGCCCGCGGGAGCCGAAGGAGTTGTTCGTGGGACCTGGGGGAGGGAGACCAAAGGGGAGGTGGGCAGCAGGCTGGGTCACAGGATCTTACCCTGTGCTAAGGGGTCTGGTGCCAGGCACGGCTCAGTCCCATGGTCAGGAAAGCCCGTGTCGCTCTGTTTCAGGGGTCGTGCAGCACCTGCAGAACGGCCAGCTGCTGAGGGACATCTACCTGAAGAAGCACAAGCTCCTGCCCGCGGACTGGTCCCCCGACCAGCTCTACCTGGAGACCACGGGGAAGAGCCGGACGCTGCAGAGCGGGCTGGCCCTGCTGTACGGCTTCCTCCCGGACTTCGACTGGAGGAAGGTGTACTTCAGGCACCAGCCCAGCGCCCTGTTCTGCTCGGGGAGCTGCTCCTGCCCGGCGAGGAACCACTACCTGGAGCGGGAGCAGCGCCGGCAGTACCTGCTGCGCCTGCGGAGCGGCCCCCTGGAGCGGGCCTACGGGGACATGGCCCGCATCCTGGACGTGCCCACCAAGCAGCTGCGGGCCGCCAACCCCATCGACGCGCTGCTCTGCCACTTCTGCCACAACCTCAGCTTCCCCTGCGCCCGGGGCGGCTGCATCGGCATGGACCACTTCAGGGCCATCAAGGCCCACCAGATGGAGGACGAGCGGGAGCGGCGGGAGAGGAAGCTGTACCGGGGCTACGCGCTCCTGGGCGCCCACCCGCTCCTGAACCAGACGGTGGGCCGCCTGCTGCGCGCCGCCGAGGGCCGGCGGGAGGGGGCCTTCGCACTCTACTCCGCGCACGACGTCACCCTGTCCCCCCTGCTCAGCGCCCTGGGCCTGGTGGAGGCCCGGTTCCCGCGGTTCGCGGCCAGGCTGGTCCTGGAGCTCTGGCAGGACCGGGAGGGGCCCGGCGGGCACGCCGTGCGGGTGCTGTACGACGGCGCGGACGTCACGCGGCACACCGCCTTCTGCCAGGACGGCCGCGGGCGCTGGCCCACGCCCATGTGCCCCCTGGACAACCTGGTGCGCTTCGTCCGGAGGGACATGCTGGAGGCCCTGGGCCCCGGCGGAGGCAGCACCAGCTACTACGAGGCCTGCCACCGGAAAGGGCTCTGAGAGGCGCGGGGAGGCCAGCCCCGGCGGCATCGGTGCCCAACCAGAGGGGCGGGGAAGAAGGCACGCTTCCCGCCCCGGCCTTGGCCAAGGGTGCCGGGCGGCTGATCTCCGGGGCTGGGAGCCGCGCTTGGGAGCCGCCCCGGTGGCTTCGGTGGAACAAGGAGCGAGCGCCTTGTTGATGAATTCGGGTCTGGGAGTTCCTTGATGACACAATGGCCGATTCACAGAAAGAAAAAGAAAAAAAAAAAAGGAAGGTACTTGATCGCAGCCAGGCTTTGCGTACGATGCCAGACCCTTTGAACGCCCCAAGCTGCCAACCCACACGCGCGTCTTGCTTCTGACCTGCCGTGGTACTTCCTGTACGAGGGAGCCCGCAGGCCTCAGCCCACGTGTTCTTAACCTGGGACCATCTTACCTGCATCTGCATTCCGTGAAACCTTTCCCCGAGTAACGTGCGGAAAACGGGGCTCGACAGACTTTTTCAGTTCGAGGCCAGGGAGGACATTGCGTAGACGGCGCAGGTCAGAAAGCCACTTCCAGTCTCTCGTCACAGCCGATGCGTTCTGTTCTTGTCTCGGGAACGCACCCACAGACGGTACACAGAGCGATCACAGGCCTCACCACACAGGCCCGGGGCTGTCGCTGGCCGGCCCCTGGCCTGACACACAGGCTCTCTCTCCTACCATCGCACTCTCCGCACTTTGAGAACCGGGTGGATGCCAAGACTTACTCAGTCACTTCTGCTAGAAACACAGAATCCGGTTCTGTTACCACAGAACAAAGGGAGGGACACATTGAATCAGAAGGGATCCCAGGAACCTTGCCAGGATGATGCTTGATGTTCACGATGATTGTGGTACGATCGTTTTAAACACGTGTCTGCTGCCGTCTCTTTGCTGTACATGCTGAAATTTTTTGTATCCTAGTTGGTATTTTTATAGCCTAGGAGGATATTTTCTGAGACCGGTTTTAGACGTGCTCTGATGCCTACGTACGATCCCACTGGCTGTCCCCGATTGGTGTTCGGAAGGGAGGCAGACCCCGGACACAGGCACTTCCCTCCCATAAAACGAATCACGGCTGTTCCCTTGGACGAGCTGTAGAGTCGGATCAACTTCTAAACCCTTTTTTTTTTTTTTTTTGTGAGTTTCAAGAGGTCCATTCTCACTGATTTTTAGGTACGTTTTTTGGAAGAACTTTGGTACTCGGTAGTGAAATAGTCTTTATAAGGTATTTTGTATATTAGAAGCAGCGGTGAAATCTGTGGTTTCTGAATGGATGGTGCTGGTTCCCCGCGAAGAGATGTGACGTGCAAGTGAGGTTCTCCGGCGTCATGGATGTTTCCGTCGTTTCTCTTGGTTTCTACCCAGTGTTGCGTTTCAATACATGTTTCTATGAATAAATTCTGATGAATACAGTTTGTACCTCTTTTTTTAATTATTAATTTATTGATTAAGGTATCACATATTTGTCCTTAACCCCCCCATTCCAATCCCCCACCCCACCCCCACTCATGCCCCCACCCACCTATTGTCCTTGACCACTGGTTAGGCTCATGTGTGTGCACACAAGTCCTTTGGTTGATGTCTTCCTTTTATCCCCACCCTCCCTCTGAGGTCCAACAGTCTGACCCATGGCTCCTGGTCTCTGGGTCTGTTCTTGTTCATCAGCCTATGTTGTTCACCATTTCCCCTGGATGAGTGAGATCATGTCCTACTGGAAATACAAGAATCAAAAACGAGACAAACAATAATCGTTATGCTGAAAGGCATATGCATCCATCTGAAGTGAGCTTCTTTCTGGGCCACCAGTTCTTTTGAGACCCAATTCCAATGTCAAACAGTTCCTTATGTGTACATGTCAGCAGTGATACTTCAGTTCTGGATGGTGGGCAAATGGTGGGTAACGCAGGTCGGTTTGTACCTGTTAAGTCACTCTGGTTCTTCTTTTCAAGTGAGTGCCAATATTTTTAAGATTTGTCCTTTATTTGTGTATAAATAAAAATGAGCTAAATCGGAAAACTCTACAGCACACGTGAGGTACGCCGTGGCCGCTGACAGGCTGCGCCGGGCCCAGCAGGGACAACGAAAAGGGACGTCCTGCCAAAACCGGTTTGGCTCAGTGGATAGAGCGTCAGCCTGCAGACTGAAGGGTCCCAGGTTCAATTCCGGTTAAGGGCATGTACCTTGGTTTCGGGCACATCCCTAGTAGGGGTTGTGCAAGAGGCAGCTGATCGATGATTCTCTCTCATCGATGTTTCTAGCTCTCTCTCCTTCTCCCTTCCCCTCTGTAAAAAATCAATAAAATATATTTAAAAAAAGAAAAAGAAAAGGAAAGGGACCTCCTGCTTCCTTCTCACAGGGCAGCGGCGAGCTCACTGGGCCAGGAGGCCGTGTCCCAGCTGGTGGCCGAGGGCCGGGTTACCTGCTTCTGTTATTGCTGACCATCTTGTGTTGTCTCTGGAGTATTTAAAGCCTAAACAGGTGTGAGTTTTTTCTCTCTATTTGCAGGAGAGCTGCTAAGCACAGCTTGAAGTACGTATTATAGAATTGAATCAGAAGATGTTTTAAAAATTAATTGGCAACATCTGTTGGTAGTAGAGGTAAATATTTTGGATAAGAGCCCACATTCAAAGTGTCGTAGATACAGGTCTTGCCTCTGTGGTGAGAAAAACAACCTCCCCCCCCCCCCCCCACCCCGAATTATTGTCTTTCTGAATGGTTGCCACGGCCTTTTACTTACAACACGGAGGAGGCCCTGCTCACACCCAGAGCCCGGACACTTAGGAAAGAACCTGAGCTTAGGACGCCCACCCTCAGTCCCCGCTTGGCTTTTCCAGGGCGCCTCTGAGAACAGCCGCTTCGCGCTAAGCCTGCGAAGGGTTTAGTGGCCCCGGCCCCAGCCACCGTGTAAGTCCTGGGTGTTTGCTGCGCTGCTCTCTGCCTCCTGCTGGGCGTGCCCCGGACGGAGGACGGCCATTCCCCCAGCTCCATGGCACCCCCCTCACTGGGACCCGTAAGTAATAAATCTCGTGACGACTTCCTTTGTGTGGACGTATTGAAACTGCGCCTTCAATCAGAACACCCCGTGGGTGGGTTTCACTTCCCCAGCGTGGGCGCTTGGGTGCTGGGGGAGCGACCTGCCGCCTCTGTGGGGGTGGCTTGTGCTTGCTCACTCAACAGATCACAATCTGTGTTGTGTTCTTCCCACCCCCTCACCCAGATTTTTAATTTTTAATTTTTTAAAATTATGGTTCACATGCAATATTATACTAGTTTCAGGTATACAACATAATGATTAGACATTTATATCCTAATTCTAGTGAGAGAGAGAGAGAAATATCAATGATGAGAGAGAACCATTAATCGGCTGCCTCCTGCATGCCCCACACTGGGGATTGAGCCCACAACCCAAGCATGTGCCCTGACCAGGAATCAAACCATGACCTCCTGGTTCATAGGTCGATGCTCAACCACTGCGCCACCACGGCTGGGCTATACTATTCTTAATATGCGTCTACAGCTTCCCAACACAGCCTCCTGGGAAAACTGTATGTGCGCAGCATTAAAGTGCCTTCCTTCTGGTCAAGTTCTAAGACGTTTCATTCCATAAACAAACACTGAGCACTGAGCTGAGCTGAGAGGATTTCATTCTTGGTGTCTGGGCAGTGGGCTCGGTGCCTTCGTTCCTAGCAAGTGTGTGTACGTGGATATGTTCAGCTTTCTGTTTTTTTTGTTTGTTTGTTTGTTTGTTTTTTTAATATATTTTATTGATTTTGTACAGAGAGGAAGGGAGAGAGATAGAGAGTTAGAAACATCGATGAGAGAGAGTCATCGATCAGCTGCCTCTTGCACACCCCCTACTGGGGATGTGCCCGCAACCAAGGTACATGCCCTTGACCGGAATCGAACCTGGGACCTTTCAGTCCCCAAGCCGACGCTCTATCCATTGAGCCAAACTGGTTTTGGCAGCTTTCTGGTTTTTATGATTAAAATGAACACAATGCACATTGGGAAACAATCACATAACGCTGAAAACTTCCAAGTGAAATTCTCTTCTAATCCCTCCTCCAGAGGGAACACTGAGAGGCTGGCAGATATTCTTACAGAAATTTCCCATGCAGATGCAGAAATGTGTAATTTTTAAACAGGAATCATTTTATATATATATATATTCTATGACTTGCTTTCCTTAACAATATTTTTATCTGATTGGTTCCTTTAATAATGTGCCTTATTATTAACTTGCTCCTCTTAATCTGGGAGTTATTTCCACGTTGAGATAGATTATAGATAGATAATAGAATAAGCTCTTTTTATAGCTACTGTATAATATCTCATGATAGAGATGAAACATTTTTAAACCTTTAAAGATGTATGAAATTGAACTTTAAAAAACCAAGGCACCTAAACAGGATGACAAGGCTTTTGATCAAAGTTACACAGAACAAAGCAGAGGCCAGCAAATGTGGGCGTGTTGATCTTCTAGCTTACCGGAGCAGTTAACCCCTTTCCAGTGTAGCTACTAATATATTTACTAATATAATCGGTGCATTTCTTCAATTTCACTAGTAAGCAGAATCCAGGAACTTAATGTGATATTGCTATGAAGCCTTTTTGAGGATCTTTCCAGCTGTAGCAGAATTCGGCTTTTGAAAGATTTGAGGGATTCCCTTCTGTAGATCATCAGCTGCAGGGATGCAGGCTTCTGTCTCTCTGAGTCTCCGGGAAACCTTCAGAATGGACTTAGCAGCCCAGGCCATGGCGGGTGGACCTAGCGTGTTTGAACACAACCGCAGTAGAAAGCAGAAAGCAGGTGGGGCTTACATTGCCTTCCTGGCTTTGATAGTGGCTGGCACGGAGTTCTGGCCTGGGCATCAGTTAGCTCCCGTTGCTCAAGGCCACGGACCTGAGTGTCGGGGGTGTACGCCTGCGGAGAGCCTGCCCAGCGGCCAGCTCAGATGACTAATAATAGCTTCTGTTTAAGAGGAACCAGCTGAATTCGTCAGCATGGCTGGCCAGGCCTTCCTGGTCTCTGGAGCGGAGAGTGGCCTTGAGGAGGAGGAGAAGGTATGTGGCCGAGGGGCCAGCATGGGCCTGCAGAGCCCCAGCCCCTGGCAGTGAGGGCCAGATCACTCAGTAGTAAAGGCCTGTCTGACAATTTAAACAGCTTTCTGAGGAGTGTCCTGTTAGCCCTGATACAAGTGAGGAAACTGGCCCGGAGGTGTGAAGTAGAGGAAAAGTCAAAGCCCAGAGAATAATAACACAAATTTATTAACCTTCCCAATAGCCATACAAGATACTGTGTTTGCTGGTGACTATCAGTGACTATTAAAACATAGTAGGGTTGCAGCAGTTATAAATTTAAAACCAAATGGTTTGGACAATATCCTTACCCTGCTTCTTAACATCAGTGGTTCCTGATTGTTTTTATTTTAAAAAATATATATATATTTTTTTATTGATTTCAGAGAGGAAGAGAGAGAGAGAGATAGAAACACCAATGATGAGAGAGAAACATTAATTGGCCGCCTCCTGCACGCCCCCTACTGAGGATTAAGCCACAACCTGGGCAGGTGCCCTTGCCTGGAATCAAACCAGGGACCCTTCAGTCCGCGGGTAGACGCTCTATCACTCACTGAGCCTAACCGGCTAGGGCAGTGATTGCTGGTTGTTGTTGTTGTTGTTGTTTTGTTTGTTGTTGTTGTTGTTTTTGGGGGGGGGTTGGTTGCTATTTTGGTTTTTTTGGTTGCTGTGTTTAAGAAAAAACTTTTATCATGTAAATCTAGCCTTTGCAGTGGTGTTATATTATATTCTGCCACTAGGGGGCAGCATTAAACATAATTTTTAGCCTTCAGGACCCAGTCTTCCACGTAAAGGAGGTAGGGTAGTTTTGTGACGCGTTTAATAGGGCAACCTGTCATCTCGGTTTGTCTGGGGCTGAGGGATGAAGGAGTTCCAATGCTAAAAATAGTAAAGTTCCTGACAAACCGGGACAAGTTGATGACTTTAGTGTTGACATGCATCAGATGCCACTGTTAGACCTTGTAGAAATGGGGAATTTTGATGGAGTGACTAATCTGAGGTTTCACATAGCTAACTAGTCTACATCAGAGCTTGGACTCTAAGCAGTTGTCCATTAACTTGAAGGACCATATTCTTAAGCAAGATATGAGAATGCCTCTCTCAACCATTTGGGACTGTTTGGTCACGTGCAACACCTGAAACCATGGATAATACTGAGTTCTCTACATACTATCTTTTTTTCCTACACATTGAGACCTCTGATATTGTTTAACTTATAAATTATGCACAGCAAGAGACTAACAATAACTAATAGAACAATTATAGCAATATACTACTGTAATAAAAGTTATGTGAATGTAGCCTCTCTCTGTCAAAAATGTAATTTTTTAAAAACTTTCCACTCACAAATGTAATGCA